CTCTTTCTCAAGTGTTTTTCAGAACATAACAAGAAAAAAATTCAAACTCAGAGCCAAGGGAATGCAAAGTATGATGCATAGCTGCTTCGCTCAATAGGCGAGTCATAACCTCTGCATAATCCAGAGAATGATCACCTCTCGCTCTTTCATTCACACACACACTCTTCACCTGTCATTCCTGTTGGATGTCTTACATTTCACCTCAGTCCCTGATGCTCTATCTGGCTCCCACCTCCTGATCAAACTAGGCTCTAACACACAATGAAATGTTCAACAGTGAATTACCATAGCACATTCAATATAAACTGATTTTACGTTTGGATTCGGTCCAAACCTCCATATGGCTGAGGAGGCTGCTGTTTCCCCAACCAGAGCATGACTGATTCTGTTAATGTCACAAAGCTCTAAATCACTGGAGCGCCAACTCTCTGCAGTGAAGGGATCAAGAACTTTAACACTCATGAAACACTTTTACTTCAATGTCCTGGAGAAAATCAGAAGGTGCCTCTTGTTGAAGACAACCCCTGAGTTGCAACACCTGGATACGGGGCTACTTAAGCAATACTTGGATGTGAATATTGGACACAGGAGCATAGTATGTTCATACTTTACATCTAATTGGAAACTGCTGGAAAATTGCGTGTAGAGTCCCACATAAGATGATAGGAAGTCAATAAAACTTTGTGTAAGTGTAACTTTTACTGAAAGAATACACAAAAAAACACCTGTAGATTACTTTGCATGTGCTCAGTGCTTTTTTGTTTTGCTGCTCTACACAATTTATGCTCAAACATATTTAATCGATCAGGTTTCAGGTTTATTCATTTATATTGCACATTTACCAACAACAGGGTTGATCAAAGTGCTTAACAATCAGCAAAAAACAGCAAGAGATTAAAAGTTAACAAACAAACACACCAACAAACATCAAAGGTGACATAAAACAGGCCTGATGATGGTTAAAACTAATTTGATCCAAAAGCCAAAGTAAAAAAATGAGTTTTAAGACGCGATTAAAAAGAATGAATAGACTCAGAATTGTGAATAGAAGCGGGGAGACAATTCCAGAGTCTAGGTGCTGCAGTTGCAAAGGCCCGATCACCTCTGGGCTTCAGCCGGGATCTAAGTTGTTCTGAGAGCATCTGGCAGGATGATCTTAGTGCCCTCCTGGGCTTGTACAAGCAGAGGAGTTCAGTCAGGTAACTGGGTGCCAAATTGTTTAAAATTTTAAAAGTAAGCAAAAGAATTTTAAAGTCTATACGGTGTTTGACAGGGTCACATCATCATTAATTTTATTCAGTTTGTAGGTTGGGCAAACAGATGTAGTCATAGTTCATATTTCTCTGTTTGGATCACGTGGCTCTTTCTTTGTACCCAAGAAGTTTTATGTCCTGCTGACTACTTCCTAGTTTGAAAAGGACAGAGACAGAAGAGTTTTGCTGTCCAAATGAAGGGCAGTGCTGTGCATATTTTAAATATATAAAGAAACAAACTTTTGAATTTGATGGAAACAGATGAGACAGGACCTCTATGTAACATCTCGTCTTCTTTTAACGAAGTCTGGGACCTGAGGAGACCAGTTGTTGGACTCGTGGGAAACTTGTCTCATTCTTGTCTGATATAGAATCATAGCTGCCCCACAGTCCTGGGTTGTCATAGTTTTGTTTCATTACGTGCCAGATGTTTTCATCTGGTGCAGTCCCCAGGTCAGTCGAGCGCTCCTCTACCACCAAGCCGCGCTGTTGGAATAGCCACAGTTTGGGGTTTAGCATTGTTGCTGTGAAACCTGTATATGCCTTTAAGCATTGATGGTGCCTTTCCAGATGTTCAGGCTGCTAACTCCATATACACCCCTATAGCATCAGAGATACAGGCTTTTGAACGGAGCATCTCGTATTTTCCAAAAAGAATCTGACCAAATTACAGTTTTCCACGTTTCCTCCGTCCATTTTAAAGAGCTTGGCCCAGAGAAGACGGCAGTGTTTCTGGATACACTCACATGGCTTCTTCTTTGCTTTAACCTGCCTTTGTGGATGGCACAGTGAACTGTGTTTAAGACAGTGTTTTCTGGAAGTGTTCCCAATCTCATGGTGTGATTTCCATGGCAGAATCATGCCTGTTTTTAATGCGGTTCCCTCTGAGGGCCCGAGGATCACGGGCCAGTGTTTAGGAATTGGGTTTGTAGTTAAGAGTTAAAAACACAACTGTTGAATTTCTTTTTTCCTGCACATTTTTTTTAATATAATAAAAAAATGTAGAAATTGTCTAAACACCTTGTGCCACACAAGAACCTTAAGCAAGTAAATATAATGTCAGATGAGCAAAAACAAAAACACTTCACATGTTGCACTGTGACAATTTATATTTCACAAAAATCAAGCCAAAATGCAGAAACCGTATGTGAAGCATTACGTGCACCCTTTTGAATTGTGAGCTGCTGGGAGGTTATTTATGAGGCTGTTATTCTACAGTGAAAAGATTATTCACAGGAAAACTCTTAAGACAGATGCACATCTTCCCAAGAGTGGATGTCGCAGCAAACTCACACAGGTCAGACTGTGCAACGATGAGAGAAATATAAAAAAGCCAAGAGCTTCATCTCTGACGGTACAAATAGAAAAAGACTGAGCGGGCTGCCAGGAGAAAGCCTCCTCGACTTGGTCTTGTTCTGCAGCCGCGGGGCCGGAGCGCCTTGCAGCCATTGAGCCAAACATGAAAGTGTTTTAAAGTCAAATGCGAGACCGTCTATTGGACAGTGTATTAAGTCTTAGGGTGTATTTAGTTCTTCACATAATGCTTCTGCATTTTGCATTGAATCGATGATGACGAGGTGAACTACGTCATGTTATGTTGTTCGTCTCAGGTTATATGTCCCTAATTTAAAGACGTTCAAAGGACATAAATTATTATATCCTGATATATAAAAGCTTAGAAGTGACAGAGGGTGCACTTTCTTTCTGTTTAGACTGTCCTGCAAAACAGCAAATGAATTCTGCCGCTGTTATTGTAAATCAATTTTAAGACAGGTTATCATCGTTTCTAGATATTTATCTTGTTTATCTCTGTTTGTAATTCGTTTCTTTTCCTGCAAACATCATTATTGTGGAAGGGAGTAATGAACACTGTCTCGTATTTCGTATTTTGTTTTTTTATTATTAATAAAGGCTGGTAACTAGGACATGTGTGTGCGAGTGCATGTGCATTCAGTCAAAGCCTGATTGATTTCTAACCTAAGGCGGGGAGATGCTTGGTTCACATCGTCGGGCCTTGAAGATTTCATACAGAAACTCATTTGTATACACTAACCGGTGAGATGCTCGGCCAACAAATGGTAAAAATAAATAAATAAATGAAATAAAACAAAGTGGAGCGGTCCAGATTTTGATAAACAGAGCGATTTGTGTTGCTTGAAAACAGGCGAGAGCTGAAATTCATCTCGCCTTCTGTTAACAGTTTTGAGTGAAAGCAGCGTTGTTCCCTTGGCGATGCTGCACTGTTTGCGTTGCTCGCTTTGCCTTTTCTCTACTTCTTTGTGTTTCTGCTGTGACCCACGAAAAGACAAACGCAGCGGAGACTTGGGCTCGTCAGCTGTAGGAAGGATATGTGAAAATATGTTTGTTAAACTGAGGATAACATGACCACAGAGTGCCCTTGTTTTCTCTTGTCTTTTGTTCATTCTTATAACCTTTTTCCCATATTCCAAAACATTCCCTCGCTCTCTCTCTTCTGTTCTCTTTCCATCTGTTACTAATGTTGTAATAGCTTTCTTACGCCTTCCTTTTTTCTTTTTCCATAAATCCCTATTTTTGCACATGTTTCACTACATTTAGTAGATTTTCTCCTTTACGTGCTTTTTGTCTTTTTTTCCTTAATGTTTTCTTTCACATACAGAATAGTTGGTTGGTTTTATTAATTATAGCTTGTAGTGTGTGATAACATTATCAGTAATATTGTTAGCAGAAAATTAAATTTAAGAAATTGAGTTAAGAAAGTTGGAACAGGGGACGCGCAGTCGCCTGCACACGAGCGTGGGGATATCGACTTACCCTTCAAAAACATTTCCTCATACACCAAGCCCTCCCTTCTCTCACATTCATCCCTCTCTTTGTTTTTTTATTACATTTATGGCCACAATCATAAAGTATGCAATCTTCATCAAGTAATCGCATTAGACAAACGTGTTAAAACACATTTGAATAAAATGACAGGTTATGACAGATTTGAATTTAACACATTTTCCTGTTTTTTTTTCTTTAGTCAGAAAAATGAATTTTGTCTTCTTAACTCCTCAGCAGTTATGCTCCTTTTATTTATTTGTATATTTTTAATTGTTATTTTTTCTGAGATGATAAACACCTTTGTGTTTAGTGCAATAGCTCTTGATTTTTATGTTAACTCACCGCCTACTTACATTAGACTTGTTGCAAAATATAAATTAGCCAGTGAAACAAATAAATGATAAAATGTGATAAATGATAACAATTAAAATAATTGATTTTTAATTTTTTTAATTAAAGGTCTTGAAAGATAAAACAGTTTCACTTCATTTGGCTGAGTTAGCTCTTTTTCCAAAATGACATTTGGATTAGAATTTCTTCGTTACTCCAGCACTAATATGTGACGTTATTCTTACAGCCACCAGTCGGATATTGCCAAAGAGCTCTCTGTGTATCACTCGACGCGGTGATAGTTGAGGCAGCCAACAACTATTCCTCGAGAGAATATTCATAATGTAATAGAGTTTCAACATGTCCGTGATTGCATGGATCCCATTGTAAACTGATTATTTTCAGCTGGCTCTTTTTCCAGGACGGTCAGCAGATCACTGAGCTTTAGCTTTAGCCAACTTTTAATTTGAGAGTAACATCGGGTCAGTGTTCTGCTAGCTAAAACCATACCTTGATATCAGCACGCACAACGCATGTGTTGGTCTGCTTTGACAAAAGGTGTGCAGTTTGTGAAGTAGACTATTTAGTAATATTATCTCTGTCCATTTCCAGTGAATGGGACCTACTGCTCAGAGAAGGATGCAAATGCTGAGCTGGGCAATGCCGAGGGCCCCCTGATGCGATGTGGGCAGAGCCTGCTGCTTCCAGCAGGGGGTCATTCGGAGGGGCTTTACTCCCAGAGCCTCCAGTGCAGCAGACCTACACCTGACCTCCTTCTGCAGGATGGGCCTCATCAAGACGCCAGGTGAAGTGTCACTGTTATTCCCGTTTGATATCATATTTTTCCACTTCCAGTTCTGAATGTTTCCTGTTTGGTGTAGTGTTACTAACAATATGCAGGTACAATATGGTTCTCATTATGTTTGCTATTGTGAATCAGTTGCACACATATGTTGCTAGACAGCATTGCCCAGCGGCCTCATAAAACACACTGAAGTACAACATTTATGCTACACTAATGCAATTCCTCCGTGTGCAAATTGTGACTACTGTTGGTCAAGGCAGAAGTGGATTTGTCCTCCTTCTCCCTCCCCCGACTCCTCTCTCTCTCTCTCGTCTTAGCCATCCGGCTGAAAGCGTCTGGACAGACTTTCATTTCTCCCGTATTGTCTCTCAATATTTTCAGTACAGCCGAAGAGGAAATGAGGCTACTGAATAGAAAAAAAATAAGAAGAGGGGTCAAGTCTTTATTAACAGCAATGATGACAAGGCCTGCCAGTGGCTTTCTCCTGTCCCAGTTAGCATTAGTGCTGTTTTTTCCTGGGCGTGCTCTGGGGAAGAGACAAAGACGACAGCCAGGGAAAAAGAGAGCTCTTCTCACATCACTCAGGGGCTTTGGACAAAATCCATAATGAGCCAACTGACAGGAATGATTATGTAGGAGATCACAGCAACGCATGGAGAAACATGACCTGGGTTCCCCATTCAGCAAGGCAAAGATTCCCACCATAATACACAGTATTGTAAATGGTGACCCTTCATAGGCTGCAATTATACCACCAAAACAGGTGACTCCCTATTTATCCCCACCGTTGGGTTGGGTTTAACCCCTTTGTGTCATCAAAGCCCGTCAGATGGACACACCAGCCAGTGGCCTCTCGGTCTCAGTCGCCATCCAACCCTCCCCCTCGCTCTATTATTAGTCTTAAATGCCCATTCATATCCCCTCACTACAAGAAGATCCTCTTTCATTTATTCATTAAAAAAAGCCACTTTGGATTATCAACAATTTTCTGTTGCTGTTCGCTTGTCATGGTCTATTCCATCCATAACTCCCTTCTGATACGGGAGGCTCAGCTGAAATATTTTAGGTTAGTGGGACCTTTTACGTGATTTTCATTTTAAACTGAAGAAAAATAGAGTATGAAACGACAGTATGAAAAGGCAGAACACTGACAGCGATGTTGGTGGGAAGGATGAACCAGCCTGTCTGTCAACAGGCACTGAGCTAATAGTGCTCACATTCCTTTTGTATTTTTCTCCCCGCAGATCCTCCTCTGCCTTCGGGAGGACCCTGCCAGGGGCCTCACCCAGCCTGGGCTGCGGTGCCAGCGGCGTTCGCTCCTCTCTCCCTTACCCAGTCAAACAGGAGAGCTCGATGGGCTACAAGATCTCCAACGTGGAGTCTTCATCTCAGGCTGGATTTCAGGCCCACGCTGCAGGCCAAGTTTTGGAGGTGGCCAGGGATGAGATGGTTGGGTCACTGCATATTAGCAACAGCGGTAATGGCGTATGTGCAGTGAGCGGTGTAGGTAGCGCTGTGCCAGGAGACGCAGGACAACCGTTTAATAATGAAGATGGCTCCTCCCCGCTGGCTTTGTCTCCAATTGGCTCTCGTCATTCAGCGCGGCTGCTCAGCGCTGGCAGTCTGAAGAGACGCTGCCTGTCCCTGGCCTCGCAATCCACCGCCGCTGCTGCCACCGGTTCCCCATCAGCTGTTGGCACCGCTTCTGAGGAGATCAATATCACCGCAATCATCTGCTCCTCCTCCCAGATGTCGATGGTCGCCTGCGTCAACGGGTTCCGTGCTAACCTCTCGCCAAGCAACACCAGCAGCGCCGGCTTCTCTTCCTCCTCCTCCTCCTCTACTGCTTCCCCACCCTCTAACTCCTGCTCACGGGAAGCCCCCCAGAGGCCCCCACCACACAGCAGCCCCCAGCAGGCTGCACTGCAGGAGAGCTGTCAGCTGTCCTCACCTGCCACCTGCCTGTTGTCTCTTTCCTCTTCCTCATCCTCTTCTTCAGTGTCATTAGGGGAGCCGGAGCAAGGCCAAGGGCAGAGCCTGGGGCTGTGCGAGGAGCAGGGCTCCATGCTGCAGGGGCGTGGGGCTGGAGGAACAGCTGAGGGAGGAGGAGGAGGAGGCTCAGACGGGTTGGGGCTACTGATGAGTGGGGCCCTGATGTCTGGGGCTCTGCATTCGGGGCCTCAGGGTGGGGGTCTCCCAGATGGGGGCCAAAGATCTGGGGCTGTCCTCAAGCAGGAACCGCTCGATGACTTCTCTCCCAGCGAAGACAAACTCTTTCAGCACCACTATCATCATCACCATCACTTAAGTGGGCGCAGTGGGAATCTTCGTCACGCTCACCACCCACCTCGATCGGCCATGCCTCCGCCTTACCACTTGCACCAATATGTGGGGCCCACTCCCAACGCCCCACTACACCATCACAACCAGCAGACAACTCCAGGCTCTTCCCTCGGACTCAAACCAACCTCAGGAGGCCCTGCGGTGGCCCACGCAGCCCCCGTGCCGGAAGAAGTCGGAGGAGGAGGGCTGGTGGATAAACAGGTGTGTCGCTGGATTGACTGCAGTGCTGCTTTTGAGCAGCAGGAGGAGCTTGTGAGACATATTGAAAAGGTCCACATCGACCAACGCAAAGGTGAGGACTTCACCTGTTTCTGGGCTGGCTGTATTCGGCGCTACAAGCCCTTCAATGCACGCTACAAGCTGCTCATTCACATGAGGGTCCATTCTGGAGAGAAACCCAACAAGTGTATGGTGAGTCATCATAAACCACTAAGTTCTTCTCCCACCACAGACCAAAGCCAAAAGATTCAAAACATATACGTAGAATATTGTAAAAAATCCCCTCGCAGTCAGCGTTCTTATTCCTTCTGAAGGTCTTCGTTGTATTTATTAGTTTAATATGAGTGTAGTTTATCTCATAATTGCAACCATCTGGGATTTTCTTTTGTTTAAATTAAATACAAGCACATATTTCACAACATAATACAGTAATTCAAGAAGATTTTTTTTCTCAGAAAGATACATGTTGTATCCAGAAAAAAAAGGACTGGCCTTGCTTCACTGCTGATTAAATTTCAACAGAAACTCTTATTTTGTTTTGGTTGAGAAACAGTTATGATTGTAATTCCCGTATTTCAAGTGGAACATGCAAAACACAAAAGAGTTTTTCTTCCACTGAAGATGTGAAATGCCGTAAGAGCAGCAGTCCTTCGTCAGCATAAATAGATTTGCGGTTGTATTTGCAGGTAAGGCTTCAGGTTGCACAAATCAACACACTAATCAGCGTCAAGCTGTCACCTCCCAGCGTCCCTTCACGAATGGAAAATGCCCTCCAACCTTTAAAACGATTCAGTCCAAATACACAATTAGTGCACAATTTGTGTAGCAAGAAGCCGTGTTTATTTTCACGGGCACTTCGTTTTTTGAGAAGGGATTCAGATCGTGAAAAGCCAACGCATGTGGTTAACATAACCAAACAATGCCCACATTAAATGGGAGCTTTAAAAGTTTAGCTGTCCCACAAGTATTAAGTGAGTTGGATTCATATCCAAGGCAAACATGAGGAGAAATGTAGTCTGGAGAAATGAGACACGGAGGCTTCACCCAAATCTCTCTCTGTCAGCGGTCTTCTTCAGGTTGAAGAATTCATCCAAATCCAAATGCTAATTGAAAAAATGTATCATGTTTCTGTAGCGCCTTGTTCTCCAGATCTTGTTTGTTTTCCTAAAAAACCAGTGGCTTGTGAAATGAACTAAAGGGAGAGGCTGGTTTTACCGTCCTTGTGCGCTAATTAAGACATTCATGCTGAATCTACTAATTCTCCTGCTTGCTGTTACACATCTGCTGACCGAAGGCAAAAAGACACAAACTCAACTGTTGCTGCTGTTCTCCCTGCTTTGCGTCACTCTGGGGTATTAGTGTCTCTGCTTCCTTGGCTCAGTAAAAATTTGGAAGTAATTTGCTGTTCGTGCCTAAACTGTTAATTCAGCTTCAGCGTTGCGTTGTATTACAGGCTTTCATTTGTCCCTTTTTTGTTGTTGTTGTTGTTGTTGTTATTGTTGCTCATTAAAGCAATGTGTGTTTGCACAGCAGGCACAGCACGTCTGGTGACACACAGCAGATTTATGCGTTTCGTATAGGTGTGCATAAATGTTGCGCCGAGGTGTGTTTTTGGAGATGTTTACCACATGTGAGAGAACAATTTGTCTCAGTGTGGACACGACGCTGGACTTTGTCTGCGGATGTGAGTCACTGTGAAACTCACCTTAACCTCCTGTTTATGCTCAATGCATGAAAAAACAAAGTCACGGCAATGGCAGTACATTGAATCACTCTCACAATAGGAAGTATTGATTCCATGTGCAGTACAATGAATTGTAACACTCGCGGTTTCCCCCCAGAAAAAACCAACATAAATAAGAAATGATTTAAAGCTTGCATCAACACATCTAATCATCTGGGATTTAATGTATGTTGATCCGGGACTTCAGCAGATAAACTCTGAGGCCCTGGGAAAATAAACACACTCTGTGTGTGTGTGTGTGTGTGTGTGTGTGTGTGTGTGTGTGTGTGTGTGTGTGGGTGGGTGTTGTGTGTGTGTAACTCTGTTTGTGTTTTTGTAGTCTACACACGTTTAAGTAAATGCTCTGCCCTCATTGTGTCTCAAGTACCTTCTTAGTTTTTCTTTCTTTCTTTTTCTGGTGTCTGGGTACGTGCGCTTTTTTCCACTAGCACTGATGCCTCTTGTGCTCCTTGTGCTCATGCAATAGACAAAGGCATTCAAGAATTCGAGCAATTCATATAGAGGAAACAGATGAGACCTTCTGTTTTAGGACCAAATGCTCTAGAAACAACAGGGCTAATCCTTTTATTATCTTTCTAGCGGCAGATTCCAGCAGGCGCTCATGAAGCGAGGCCTGCCCGACATCCAAACATAACACACCCCCCCCTCCTGCTCCATATATACACTCTTTCTACTTTCTTCATGCAGCTGCACAGGATTCGCTTCATGCTGCATCTTGGCGGCAAAAAGTCATTATCACAACACACAGTCGTACCTCGTCCCCTGCGTGGGTCTGTCACTTGGCTAATATCTTACCAAATGTCCCATTTGAGAAACAAGTCGACGACTGAATTTGAGGCTCTTAAAATGTTGCGCTACCTTTTTAGAAAATATTTTTTGTTCCTATTCCCTCCAATTAAAGCCAGCCCTGAGTTGTTGCACAGGGCAAGCAAATGCCGAGGGACACACGGGCGAAAAGGAAACAACATAATCTCTCTGCAATATCCTGTTGTGTTTCATGCCTAATTCACTTGTTGTTTTAGTTTATTGCATTTTTTCCTGCGTCTGCATAAATATTAAAAATATATCCAGCAAGAGCAGCCCTGTCATGGTCCTAGACTTTGATATTGTTCTTCTTTGTCAGAGGTTGACCTTGTGGATTTGAAGTGTCTGAAGGCTGCACTGGGAGCTATGAACTTCAGAAAACATCTTTCTTAAACCGCTGAAGCTCTGTGTGCAAAGGGCGGCGTGTTTACATGGCACAGTGACTTCAGGCTAGAGTACAGTGTTGTGCTCTTTATTTGGTTGGTTTGGCAAAGCAGTTTAGATCAAATGTTGGAGAAAAATGTGCTCATAAAATTTTAAAACATTGGTGCGCTTTAAATGTTTTTAAAAGGGGCTTATGTTGCGGCGGGATGCAGGATTCATTCTGCACTTCGAGCATAAATAAAATGTTGCTTATTCCAAGCTGTTTGTGCTAAATGTCATAGTAATGGTCTTTCAGAAGGACTTTGTAATTTTAGAACAAACACCGTTGATGCGGTGAATTATGCGCAGCACATGGGAAGTGCAATTTTGTTTTCATATGGAAACATTATTAAAGCTTCATATAAATATATGTTTTATGTATTTCAGGTAAAATGATTATTGAGTAGGATCTTGTGACATAAGGAGACGTTTTAACTATTTCAAACTTCTGTATAAAATGATACATTTAAAGGTTTTCGTGTTGCTAAAGGCGAGTCAAAGAGCCGCTCTTCCATTTCACAATGACAAAAGCCAGCCAGCATTAGCTGCTTAATAGCGCTCTTTCTAAACGTATGCACATGTGTGTATACGGAGACAAACACCAACACACACGCTCGCTCTGACTGACACACAGTCAAAGGACTTGTTGAAGGAAAGTTGGATGTTGAGGCCTGCTGGAAAAAGGCATAGATCATGGAATTTCCTCTTTCTTCACTGGTGTGAAACCAGCTAACATATATATTTAGATTTACTAGACTGTTTTTTGGAAGAGAGTGGCTGCGTCCGTCTGCAGCAGACGCTCAGATGTAGAGTGCAGCCTGCTGCCAAGATGCCGTGTGTTTCCTGGAGTAAATGGAGTCTTTTGTGAGCAATCAGCTCAGGTGCATGAGATAAAACAGGGAGTGCCATTAGCTAATTAAAACTGAGGTTCAGCACATGACCCGACTTTTCCTCTGAATGCTGCCTGAAACTGGAGCTGTGTGAGCAGCGGGTGGCGAGTGACGCAGATATTAATGTGGCCGTATGAGCCTCGGACACTTTAGAGGCCACAATCTCTGAGCCCAGCTTCTGACTCTGTTCACAGGTATTCGTATTAAACATTCAAATAAGATCAATATATGAACAAGCCAAAAGCTCAGACTGCTCTAAGCACTCAGCCTCAGAAATGTCTTTTTCTACTCCTGCACCTGTATGATGTCAGTGCCTCCATCCCCAATATGGCTCTAAGCACTGAAACCATGTCCACCTGTTGTTTATGAGGTGCACCGAAGCCCACCATAAGATGCATACGGATTATTTTGAACTGTGAATCCTGCAAAGCTACTTTAATAAAATCCCAAAATAAAAATGTCTGTGCGTGATTACTCTGTGGCACACAAGGAAGCCGAATTACCAAAACAACATGTTGTGTTTCTGTAAGTCCAACAAACGCTGCAAGCTGCACACGCATATTCAGTCCCACATGGAGGGAGAAGATACGTCTGTGTATGGCTCATTTAAAGTAATCAGTGTCAACAGAAGAGAAAGGCAATGGTTTAGCATGTCAGGAGTAACTCCATGCTCAGGAAAGAAAGCTCCTAGTCTGTTAAGTTGGCGCAAACGCAAAAACCTAATCAGGACCTAATAAGGACCTGGAAGAGATCAACTTTTAGCACTTCATCTGAAGCTCCCTCTGCTACTCATTAAATAATTTTCAGCATTAGCTTTGTCATTCATTCCCCAGGCAAATGAGTTCATCAGGTAGCTACATAATTTCTCTCTACAAACCCATAATTCCATCCTGTGGCCATCCTCTGTCTTCCTGTCATATCAGCAGTGCTGCTTGGCAGTCCAGTCGTCATGCTATTAGTAACCCAACACTGTCCATATGTGATAGTCATATGATGAAATTGCTGGCGAAGGGGCTCTGCCACTGATGTTTTGGCATATAAATGAAAGCCCTGGATAGATGAATGTTGCTTGTTTTCCTTGTTGAGGAGCCCCGGCCAAGAGCTTGTCAGGCCGAAAAAGTTTTCCAGTCAATCTTTGTCAGTAATGTAGTCCAGTACTCAAGAGCCTCCCTCCCAGCATCACCCCACCTTTCCCTTATTGTTCAGATCTGAACATAAGACTGCTTTGATGTATTCAACACACACTCAATCTACACAATGGCAAAATATACCTCTATTTCCCCTCCTTAATCTGTGTGGTTAGTGCTTTATTTAAAGACGACATTTGTAGT